CCGATGCCATAACTCAGAACTAGAACCCCTTTTGAAAAGAAGGCTTAAGTCCGATTTGATTCTCCACTTCAAACTCCTCTAAAACCCTACTTACTCAATATGTAATAAAGTTCTTGCAAAAGACTCATATAAATACGACCTTCGAGAGAAAGTACCCACGGTCAAAGTTGAGAAATACAGATAAAAATCTAGGGAAAAGTTCTTTATGGAGCACATAATAATAAGAAAGAGTTTTCCTTCTGAAATACGCATGGCAGATGAATTACGTACATTTGTAAGACTTCTTAATCAACCTCTCGCTTGGGCTGATCTAGCACGATCGATCCCACACCACAGGCTCCCTACATCTGCAGACCAAATGAAACTCTAAGTTCAGTCTGCCTTACTTTCTTACTTTGCAGTTAAAATAGATACTTTTCCGTCCTTAATCTTTTACTTGAAGTAGACAAATAGCTCACTGGACCTTTCGACGCTGCTCAACTAAAGTCTATCGCTCACTCGAGGAAAGGGATCTAAGCATCAAAATAACCCGAGGCTACTTCGCGTAACACTTAAGAATGCTACCGACTCAGAGGATGTCCTGCTAGCTGGTCATTTACTGAAATCCGATGGGAATGTAAGAATACTCCCCAACATACCGTATTCTGAGTGCAATCTGATTCGGAACATCCCTAAAGAATCTCGTGAGAAGTTTTTTCGCGGAAGAAATATTACTTTGCAAGGTGCACCGGAAAACACAGACCCTCGTCAAACAAACTCTGATATTAGGGAATGGAAGTTCATCAACTAATCCTTGAGGCTCAAAATCATACTGACTCATCATGTGACGAGACTAGCCAAGGGGGACGGAGATTCCAGACCCCTTCTAATGAATATTACTATCCCATCCTCACATATGACGGTTGCAACTCTGGAAGCATTTCAAGCCAACAAATGACGGTTTCCAACCGGGATCCATATGCATCCGAATAGATCACATGACGCTAGGATCAAGTACAAAGGCAATTTGGAGCTGATCATTCCACTTGCAGACTGTCTTGATCATAAAAAAATGTGTAAAGGACAGGGCCTACGAACTCGGCAAACCTTATAGTGGTAAGCTACGTGTCCATTCATGTAAGGCTCATACAGACAAACAGGAAGAAGCTCATGCGTTTCACATTGAAAGTATAAATTGCTTATACATGAACGCTGCGAGTCTAATAAAATGATGAGCGATGTGAACTGAGCAATGCTAACGAGACTCATCTGATAGAAATGTCTGAAACTTGGATATCTTCTCAGTTTACGGATCAGGAGTTAGCAGTACCTGGGATGTTTTTGTTTCGCAACGACAGAAAAACAGGAATTGAGGGTGGAGTAGCCTTATATATACTATCTTGTTCGGAGGTACACCAAGTTCACAACCATGAGTTTAGAAATCTTGACGAATTTTTATGGTGCTCTGTATGATTGTCTACTACTTCGAAGCTCCTGGTCGAGGTCATCTATAGAAAGCCCATTGCTGACATCGAGTATGACAGTCTATGATTGAAGGACTATCCCGCTCTACCCGTCTCGGTTTCACTCATATCCTGATTCTAGGGGACTTCAATCTCCCTAGATTCGATTTAGCGGAACATAAGTATATTGGAGGTGGAAACTTTACTGAAGCTCGGTTCTTCAACCCCAGTGAGGATTCAAGGTTGAAAACCCCTCAATCCTGGCTCCCCTGGGGGAAAGTGATCACGCCGTTATAGCCTTGAGTTTTGCCAACAAAGCTGAGCTAAGATATCCCACCAACAACTTGCGCTGGAATTTCAAACGGTTGAATGTGTCAGCTCTACATGACTATCTACAACAGTTGGATTGGGGTGTTCACCCCCAACTCTATGTGGATACTCATTGGGACTTTTTACTGCACACACTCTTATGTGCTAAAAAGCAGTCAGTTCCTCAAACGGTCCCCAAAAGCTCCAAGCAACCTTCAGTCATCAGGAACAACACTCTTTGCTTGCTAAGCCGCAAAATGCACTGTTGGGCAGAATACAAACAAACTGACAACGGCGCGTACAGGCAAGACAAAAATATAAGGAACATATACAGGAAGGCTATAAGAGAAGACAGGCTTCAGCACCAGATAAAGCTTATGGATACATTTGTCTCTAATAAAAATGCTTGTTCTGTTATGCAGCCTCTCTTCTCCAAGCCGAAACTGGAGCTCCCCAACTGCTAGGTCCTAATGGTGCGACCAATAATGACGGTGACGTCGCTAACCTTTTGACTGAACAATACTCTCGGATATTTCAACCAAACCACATCAACTGTACCGAGGACAGCTTCATCTGCAACCGTACAGGACTTTCCGTAGTGAAGCTGAGCGCTAACCTGGTGTTCCGAAAATTGCAGTACCTAAAATAAGACACTTCTCCTGGCCCATATATGGTCAATTCTGCAATACTGAGGGAATCAGCCTCAATCCTGGCAACACCACTAACAGTTATGATCTCACACTCGCTAATCCAAGGCAAACTATCGGAAAATTGGAAGCTGGCTCACATCACATCAAGTTTCAAAGGAGGTCGATACAGCGAACCTTCAAGTTACCGACCGGTGACTCTTCTCTTTATACATTCAAAAATCATGGAGTCCCTGATATACGATGGTATACATGACCATTTACTGTCCTTAAATTTCTTCTCACCCCAACAGCGTGGCTTCAGGAAGAGTTACTCTTGTATAGCCAACCTACTGACTGCGGTGGATAGATGGAAAGCCATCCTTAATCGCAAGAGGAAGGTTGATATCATTTACCTTGATTTCTCAAAAGCTATTAGTAGGGTTAACCATATATGTCTTATCAATAAGCTCAAACGATTAGGTATCAGACCACCTCTAATTGATTGGCTCATTTAATATCTAAAAAATCGACACTTTAAGATAAGGCTTAACTTTAATTTCCCTCAGGTTATGAGATGTTTTAGTGGGGTCCCACAGGGTTCGGTACTGAGACCTCTACTCCTCTTGATTTATATAAACGATCTTCCACAACAGGTATCGTCTGTCTTCTTACTTCTTGCTGATGATGTGAAACTTTGGAGAGAGATACTCAACGAATAGGACATACTGACACTTCAGGAGGATCTGACTCGACTTCAAAGTTGGGCAGACGACAACGGACTTACTTTTAACACTTCAAAGTGTAGAGTAGTCCATTTGAGAAATGTTGCAAGCAACAGTTAGAACTTAGGAAACTCCTCTCTAGTAGTATCACGAGTCGAAGAAGATTTAGGAGTGCTGGTGCCCTACGAGTTGAAGTCTTACACCAACTGTGGTAAAAATGCCTTTCTAGCAAACTTTGCACTAGTAACATTGAAGCGCATTTTTTGGTCAGTTTGACGGAAGAACCTTCCACTTAATCATCATTAGTTTCCTTCGTTCACATTTAAAGTACGGGAACGTAGTATTTCCTCCCTCACTCCAAAGGGATAAGGACACTCTGGAGCGCATCCAATGGCGATCCACGAAATCAGTTTTGGGACTCAAATTCAAACCTTATGAAGAGCTCCTCCAATCACTTAACCTTTGTCTATCAGAGTATAGGCGTCTTAGAGGTGACCTTCTGATAGTATCTTACTATGACCTACCAATTTCTCTTTCCTATTTTGTCGTTAATTTACTCAGGTTCCTACATAGTGGTATTGGCGACCCACTGCTACTAGACACGGAAGCTCATTAAGCGAGGGCTCCTTCTATTTTGTCCTAGCCCTTTGAACCATTTAACACATTTATTGACTACGACCAAAGACTTAGTTAAATGGTATTGATGTGAAAATGCGCATAATTTCCGACAAAAGCTTGATTACCTTTTTGTTGAGTCATTATTACCAGAGTCCTATCCACTGGTCGATGAACTTTCTTGTGCTTGGTTTGGGTCTCCCCTAATTTTGGCAATACATGAGCAACAGCATACCAAAAACACCAATATATGCCACAGGGATGATTAAATGAGAGAACAAATCTGTCATCTTCCTATCATTTGGACCATGGTAGTTTAATCTTTGGAACAATATTACTGGGCAAATAAAATAAACAGTAACTGCTCAACAATTTCCAGATAAAAGATATGCAAGTTTGTTACATTGATATTGAGGGTTGCATTGGGCGTCTGTAGATTTGTGGGCCTTTTGATTGAAGGTCATTTCTAATCTTTGATTTAGTGTATGATGGTAAAATGATGTAGCGGGATGAGACTGCGTATGATACCCGTGATATTCAAAGAAGGTATCGTAGCCTCTCTTACTGGCGGATTCTATTTTGATTCTTCCCAAACTCATTTCGCAAATGTCATTCATGTTTATGTTTGGATCATCCTATTTGTTATACCTCTGGTTCTGTATATGGTTAGACTGTATAATTCTTATTTAACGTCGAAGTCGCACATCGTGGTCAGCACCTTACATGGACTACCCCATTGACGTATCAATGTACCATGATTGCTTTGAAGATTATACAACACAGAGGACGTTAATACAGAAATATAATAGTTAACGTAGATACAAGCAAAAGTAAGACCACCGCCGCATAGGCCAACTCACGAATAACTGATGTGCTTTCGTTGTCCATGACGTTGACGAGGATCAATGATTTGTTCGGTGTTCAACGACTCAACTGCCGGATGATTTAGCTAGGGCTCAGTAAAATACAAACATAAGGGGTAATACATAGAAACTGGAGACACAACATGACAGAACGGACTGTAGACACAACTTCTACTCTTGAAGAGTTGTCAAATGCTGGAATTCGCTGCCGACCGTACTAATCCTTTAAGAGGAAACTTGACTTATTCTTAAGGACTAAGGATAACATCTTATTATGACTCACCAATTTCTTTTTTTTCTAATATATCATAGTTAATATACCTAGGTTCATGCATGGAGTTATTGTTGAACCCTTGCTGCTAGACACGGAAGCCTGTTAAGCTAAGGCTTCTATTTCGTCCGCAACCATTTGAACCATTTAAACGACCTTGAGCGGCCTAGTGAAGGGCGGTCCAGTTGCCGTGCCTTGGCTGGATATACGGTGGGTTGGATGGATTCTAGGTGTTCTGATATTTATGTAGTCTATCACTGCAGCAAAATCACAAGATCACTGCAAAAAAACATTCCATAACCTTCCTCCGTTTTGTAGTGTACACATTGGCTCTTAACTTGATTTCAAGTAACATATGCTCTACGTGCTTAGTAGAGATCTGTTAAGCTTCCATTTTCTACGTTCCCAAAGATTATATACTGGCCAAAAATAACCTGCATCATGTTATACATCTCCCTTAACTGGGTATACATCAGGAAAATTACCTGTATCAATGAAAGGCCAGTGCCTTATAGGAAGATCGTGTCGTGAAATAAATATATCACACATTACTCATAACTTTTCAGAACTGTGATTGTAAGACAAAATAATCAGGCTTACGATGGATAGTTGGATCTTGGTGCGAAATACTCCTGGTTAACTAAATAGCGATTTTGCAATATATATGGTCCTATAGGCAGTCGAATCCCCAACTTTTTATCTCAACTCCTCAAATTAGTTCATAACGCTATTTCGGCAATAGTGAGTGGCTCAAGTTTCTTTAAAGCTGCTCATAGGTCGTCCACAAGTTATAGTCTCCCCAAATCACATGCAAGTTTACTCGGTTCGAATTAGTGGGTGATGGTACATTCTTCAGAATCTTTCAAGATAGAGTTTGACGACTACCTTGTTTTGTGGGTACCGGAAAAGATTATTCGGAGTTATTCTTTGATCAATTCTATTGTTATCTAGTTTGTTTTTGGTCTAATAGTTTCTTGGAGGAATATGTCAGGAATCATATCTATCTATAATCCAGAACGCACTCTTAGTAGTTGTTCGCTAATTATAGTCAAGGTGTATCAAAACTGCTGAGCTTTTGCTCCATTGAGTAGGTAGTCAACAGTGACCTTTGGAATTCCTGGTTCCACTAGTTTAATGTCAAATTATAGATTTTAATACAGGTAAATATTATGAGTCCTAAAGGTTAATTCTAATAGCCCAAAACATTTGTGATCATAATCGGCATAGAAGTCAAACACCGAAAATTAATCTAGTTCACCGTGAGTTGGTGATTTTCTCCTTATGTCCATCAATATTGTTATTTGTAGGTGAATAAACAAATCGGTATTTTAATGTCTAATTCATCACTTTGTATACAGAAAGCTAACAAAGGGCCACTTACCAAATAATATGTTCAAAAGAATGCCAAGTGTCACTACAAGATTGGCCTGCATCAGCGTCTTAATTAATGATGGGGAGTGAAGTAGTTGAGCGTATCGACCGCTCCACTTTTTGTGGGAATTTCATCAGTCCTGATGTACTGGAGTCCGGTATGGAGTTGGAAAGTTTAGATGGCTTTTTCCGACTTAGATCACTTGTGGCGTAGGCGATGTATTTGTCTGTCAACCAAAGAACGAGTTTACTGTTCGGTAGTTCTATTTTACTTTATAGGTGTGAAATATGGTCATTAAGAATATATTATATTCGTAGATTATTAGCGCTTTATCACAGGTGTCTCATAAGCATCGCTCGTATATCTTACAACCATCAAGTAAGCGGTACTGGATTTAGGGATACGGTGCTGAGTAAAGATTCCAAATCAATTGATGATGTAGTCAAGAGTTACCATCTGAGGTAGTTGGGACATGCGTTGCGTATACCCAGTTATCGTTTATTTCGATGGAGCGATATCTGTTGTGGGAGTAGGTTGGAAGAAAGCTGCAATTAGCATAACCAAAACGTGGTATCAGTTCATTAAGTCATTGAAAATTGGATTGAGTAATATTAATAGGTGTAGACTAGCTGGTTAGTGTCCACGTGGTTGTCGTCATCAGTAGTTAAGGACTTTGGATGACATAATTCAAAATCGTTTGCGATGTCGCAGGTGCATCTTCTTTTTATCTTTCACATTCTAAGTTTATTAATTCATAACTTTTATTTCACTGGTTTATATTTCTCAAATCGTCTCTTCGATGCCCAATTTTTTTCTGTTACTGCCTTCACTACTCCGGAATTCGCCGTGACAATTTTATTTCGCTGTATTACCGGGTAGGGCAACTGATGTTGATACGTATAGGGTATTAGGTTGCGTTTGACTGACCGACTTCACAAGAAAATGAAAAGCTACTTGAGTAACAAAGGAATCAGCTTGACTAATATGGTTTCTATAATCATGTGACAAATAAAGATCAGATTAGGAACTAAGTAGTTCATGAGAGGATATCAGGGGTTTGAGGTGCAATAACTAGCTCATCACTCCTATTTAACATAGATGCTAATCATAACCCCATTTTGGTTATAGTTCTTGATTTGACTTCAGTCAGTAACGACAATGAATAACTGGAATAAGTATTCATAATTTAAAGCAGTACATGAACAATAAAGGACAGGTGTGCAATCATAGAACAAAGAATGACCTAGAATAAAATATGAATCAATGTAATTCACCACATTCCGTTTTAGTAAAGTGAGGGAAAAACAAGAGTCGGAACGACAGTATCATCATTAATGCTAAGAATCAAACGTAGTGAGTACTGTATAAAAATAAATGAGTGGAAAACAAATAATATTAAATTTGAGATTCTTTGGCTCAGAAGAGACTGACGTCGAGCCCTGTCCATTAAACTCTACAAGTATCGCATCCCAAACATGTTTGTGGATAGGCAACAAACGAATATTGTGCTTGGTGTTTTTACTATAGCTGTATTTAAAGCAATGTAATTTGTAATTACAGGTCATTGTACGTAAATTATGATGAATTCAACTCGTCTCTGCTTTCCTCCCTTTCAATCTTGGGCTAACTGTTAGCTTTCTCGGTTTATTTAAAAATAGGATGTGTTGTTTCACTTTCTTATCCTAGCCGTGTGTAAAATACAAGTACTGAAAGGTGGTTTTTTCATTATGTTATGTCGTCATTCCACTCCCGTTGTCGAAGTGTAGATTAATGACTAATCTCATTAGGTAACTTTGTCACTAACTTCAGTTTTTGGCATTTTAATCTCTAACATACCCAGACAGCTTCCGTGCAATATCACCCCTCTGTCTCCTATACTAATTGTGTTTTCATAAGTATATACTTAGATATTTATTGCTCTTTATGATCTGAAACGGTTTAATTAAGTTTCCTTGCACATGATTTCAGGATCGATGTTAATATGCCTAACTCAAATATTAGCTTAGTAATCTTATTCATCAAATGTATGGGTTATTATTTATTGTGGTATGGTTCGCAATATTGCGGGTAGACATTAGTGAAAATCATCTGATTCTATAGCTTATGGTCGCTTTGTTACTTTTTATTTCAACTAGTAAAAAAATACAATAGGACGGAAAAAGATGAATATAATTCAGTGAATTGCTCAGAGATGCTACCGGTTTTTTTCACTGTGTTGTGTCAATAATCTGACAACAGTAATACGATTTCTCTTTATAATTAACTCACCAGTTTCTTGTGTGTGAGCTACATTTTTAAGTGTGATGGATAGGGATATTACCCGTCTGCCCAAACCAACGTGGATGGAAAAGGGTTCAGATCTGGGAGGTCTTAACTACGAAGCGACCAGTTGTCACTTAAGTAATTATCATAATAATAAATTTTTTTCTATCCGTCTGATGCCTCACTCTTTATCTGGTTTTATCTGTCAGTTAGGTTGCTAAAATTGTAGCTTTTGTTTATTGATTTCTGATTTCAGAGCATGTTGAATGCATTGTTTCGCTTAGTCTAGTGATGGATGCAGCTTTTTGGAGGTTTTATATCATTAATTTTACAAACAAATGAATTTCAGATGGATTTATGGAAAAGCATTGAGAAAAATCTGTCTTGGTTTGACTTGTCGTCGGAGGTGCGTATACAGTTGAACGATGACCCAAAGAAGTACGAGGAACAAATTTTGTTACACAGTTTTCGAAATCAGTTGCGCTACACCGGAAATATAGTACAATCGGTATGCAAAGTGTTTAGATAATCTCAACTTAAGGTCATAAAACGTGAAAAAAAATACTACGAGAAACTTGTTGATTATGGAAGACAACATTATCTTCTATATCCTTACCACTTACAAGACAAAATAGTCCGTGGTTTGCAAATTACGCAGTTTGTCTACTACCGTCGCATGATAATTGACCTTATTTCGACTGAAAAGTCATATGACTGTCTCCCAAATTTTACTGCTGCAGATTGCTTACGTTTGTTGGGAATTGGCAGAAATCAGTATATTGAGCTTGTTAACACTTACAAGAGTTTCCTGTCGTCAATAGGTCCTGACGAAAATGAAATTCAGGGACTTCTTTGTGACATTCTGCCGTCACAGCCAGTCGATAAAGTCATATTTGAGCCCTGGTATGTAGTTCGTATTGGGTCAGTTATGTTATCTGACATACAAGCATCTACGGATTCCGAGCGCATAACGATCGACCAGCTTATAGATGCTGAAAAAGCAGATGATTTGGAGGAATCCAACCAAGTCGGTCCCGGAATTCTGGTTAAAGATCTTGATCAAAATATCATCAAAGGACTTTACCTTCGTGGTTTGGTTTACATTGATATTCCAGTGTCTTGTGACGACAAGATATGTGTCCCTACACTTGAGGGCTTCGTAATGAATCGTATCAGTGGAGATAGTAGAGAAAATCTTTTATACAAGATTTTTGTCACTGCTGATGAGAATACATCAGTTAGTGAACTAGCCGAGTGTCTGCAGGTAGATGTGAATTCAGTAAAACAAGCTGCTTCTATATTTTGTCGGTTGGGGTTTGCTCAAAAACGGATTGGACGTCTAGAGAGTCGAACACAGCCTTTTCAAATTCCAATATCCATTGAGGAGTCTGATACGCTGCTACACACGGAAAACTCAGTTGTCGACGCAAACTTAGATTCTTTTCCATCTATAGATGACCACCCTCAGCAGAAAAAAAAGTTGGTTCTAATATTTGATTCGACCATCACGGCTTATCTCATGATGGGCAATTTATCACCCAACTTAAAGCCTCATGCAGTTACAATGTTTGAAGTCGGGAAATTATCAGATGATTCATTGAATTCTTTCATATTTGAATTAAACCATCTTGCTCCTGTTTCAGAAGGTGAAGCCGGAGTTTATCGCGAGTATGCTCTGAATTTAAGAAAAACAATCCATTTTTTGCGTAGTCAGGCTTCATTAGACTCAACGGACTTTTGTGATGTGGATTTAATTAGAGGTGGTTCGTTGTTAAGTTTAGAGGCTGAAACACGCATACGAGTTTTACGCAAGAACTATAATGTAGTTGTTAGCCTTATTCCCTCAACATATGAAGACCAGCAAGCTTCTGATTCCCAATGGCCACCACATTTAGGACCACCTATATCAGAAGCTAATTCTCCATGGTTCGGTTTTTTCATTTCTTGTATCGCAAGCAATACAATTCAAAGAAAACAGAATCTCAGTGTTAATGTATTGCCTACTCTTTTGATAACATGTGGTACTAGAATATCTAGACTTCCATTACCTTTACGAGGAATTTCACGCTTCTGGCTTACTGCATGGGGTCATGATGCTGTAGTGGTAGACTCAACTAATTTTTTAACCACAGCAAACGATATGCTTCTATCATCACCTGTACTTATCCAAGTGAGTTTTATCGATAATATCTGTTTTTTACTCTGATTCCGAAATACACTAACCCTATATCAGAACATGTTGAATCAATTCTAATGTTAAATTAATGATTTCTTCATTAAATAATCTTTCTATGTATAAAAGTCTGTTATCTGAATTCGGTATTTAATATTTGTAGAAAAATAAAGAATAAATGCATTTTAGCCATTATGATGGAATACAAGTCATAACATTCAAAGTTTCTAACGACTGATTTACGTCACTAAGAATTTGAAAACACAGCACTTTACTTAGACTAACAGTCAAGTAATCCCTAAACTAGTACCATGTGTCACTTTTAAGATTAATAGCTTGTTTAAAATTCAATTCCTCTACATCTATTATCGGACGTCCAGGTAAACGGCTAATCAATATACCTGATGTAATTTCTAGCCATCTTGATTTATAAAACTACGTAACCTTTACTACCTTGTTTTTACTTTGACCGCAACACAATCGCAAGATTCCATGATCCCACTGCAAGTAAATAATGCTTGAGGGATGTTTTCACTATGACACTTGTGCTGTATTAATGTCTTTTATCATATCTTATTGTTGTGAATTATGATCATAGATCCCTGTTGTTCCAGTGGGTCATTAAGACTTCCGAACTAGTTAGAGTTTTCGGATCTTACAAGGGGCCATATGTTTTATCAAAAATCCTACCTCGCTTTCTTGCTTCGAAAATATTATAGTCTAACAAAAACTTAAGGTCTAATTATTTTAAACTGCTAGTATGTCTTGATCAATTTGATATTCTGTTAGATATGCTATGATTTTACATTATAATCAGGTGTTCTCACGATCGACTGGTTCAGTTGTGATTACTTACTTGACCAAACCTATCACCGTATTTTGGTGCGATCTACTGCATCCCGCTCTACAAACTAAATACAATGTAACTACGCATTACTCATTACCTTTGTGATAATTTGTGGATAATACGAGAGCAGACGTATTACATTTGGCATTATTCCGCTACATTTCCCAATGGAAAAACAGGTCTATTTCTATAATCAAAAACAACCTGTTATATAATAAAGTCGAATAGCTGAAGTATACTCATATGTGTTGTCCCATTGTTATGTATACTAAAAATTAAATCATTCTCACTTGAAAACAGCGAGTTATTATCAAAAAAGCCTTTTAATGTTCCTTAAAGTTGAATTCTTGCATGTTCTTACAGTCTATTCAGGCAATAGGATTTTATGGTACCTCCTTGAAGGGCTCTTTATCACAGATGTTACTGTTTTTTAGTATATTTTTAAAAATAATTTCTCTGACTGATACTAAAAATCACACACTGATTGTCCATCCATTCAGTACAGACTCCGAAGTACTTCGTGGCACCGCTTGCGATTTGCTATTCAAATATCTGATGAGAAAGGTTGCACAACGTACTGGGGATTATTACCATAAATTTCAATTTTTTCTATAATCTCAAGACATAAGTCAAAACAGAATTACTATCATTCAACCCATGTCGATTTGGTTGAAATTCCTATAATTGGGAGGATATCTAATACCTGTCATCACAGTCATATCGTAGCCACCAAAATTTTTTTAACATAATATCTCCATATTTCAGATTAGGTTCCAGTTAAAGTGCTTATGATTTTTCATCTCTTAGATCTTTTATAATTGCTTACTTTCACTTTGCTTTGCTAAAATCTTTTTTTTTGAAAAAGGCTATCGAAAGTTATGAATTTGAAGAAAATTTATCCCAGAGGTACATACCTTTACCTATTTCCAAGGAATTCTTACAACATTCATCCAGTTGTGTACCAGAATTCATAATACATCTTATGAACGTTATCGATTTAACCTATGTCTCTGGATATATCATAGTACTGGCTCCAATGAACAAGTGTGAACACGACCAAGATCTGAATAAACTAGCTTCAGAAGACCAAAACTTTTTATTAACTAGCACAGACTCCATTTTACAACGCGATCAACAAAAAAGTGAATACAATTGTTCTAGGAAAGCTGTTTTAGTGGAAAATGAATTGCTCACTATTATGAATGAGCATAAGCCAATCTATTTCATTACTTTACGTCTAGGTTTGCCCATTTTTAACATGGAATTAAATCACGCAGTTTGTGCTCAAATATCTAGTCAGAATTTACTATCCACTAATAACCGCAATCATCTTGAAGCTACTAATCATCTACTTGTTGAAGAATTTACAAAATTTATTTTTAATGACTGTTCAGGTTTGTTACCTAACCAAAACCAATGTAGTTATTCAACCCTTGTAACCAGTTCTGGTGGTAATTTTCCTGATACCTGGCCCCTTCCTACAAAAAATATGATGTGCGCTAATGGTATTTTGTCATTTTTTTAGTCTTTTTCGCCACACCTAATAATATTTAATCTGCAATTATTTTTGGTTGTAACGCGTACATATCTATTTCGGTCAAATGATATAATCGTTTGATGAACACTCATTTTAAGTTTTTTTGCGTGGATTATCTGTTATTCAGGTATCACTTAGGTTTTGTCTTTTTCTATTTTTAATTTCTACCCGTCCTTTCATTTTTTTATTTAACCCTAAAAATATATTGTCATACATGTGACAGCAGTGCATATCGTTCTATTTATTCCGTAATTGATTCCTGACCAAGTCGCGTCCTCTATATATCAGTAACTGCATATTGGATATATCAGCGATCAATGTGAACTTGGTAATTAGATTACAGGTAGTTTTGAACAAGTTATAACTTAAAAATAACCCTGTAAAAAATCTTTCATTTACGTAAAAACAAGTTACTGAACAATGTCGGGAAGTATTTTTAATCTATAATATTTTCCAGACCTCTCACAAGCAGTAAGCTCAAGGAATTTTTTCCTAATTAATCTTTAAGTTGTACCAAAGTTTTGTAATTTTCGTTCCAACTAAATTCACATCAAGAATATAATCTTATCGTCTCAATAGAGTTATAATATCATGACTTGCTCATCCATGAGTAGAATTTACTATTTGTGTTCATTCGTCCTGACTTCTACTCGGAGTTTGGAAAGGCATGGAATTTACAGGACATAACAAATGTGCTGAAACACTAAAACAAAAGATCTACCCTTAGATCAGCATTCGACACGACATTCCCGTCTGATTAAAAGCTACTTGAGGTTAATTGTAATGTCGCAGTTTCTACGTTATTGTTTATTCAATGAATTGTAGCAAAAGTAATCTATGAAATCAATTTAAACTGTCAACTCTCACTAAGCAGCCATACTGTTTGGCTCGTGTAGTTTACGTGAGGAGCTTATGGTTAGTCCATATACTAAATACTGTGTAAGTAACTATTTGACTACCATTTGTACTACAGTTGGCTCAATCATTTTAAAAGCACAACCATGCCATTCAAATATGATATTATTATATCAACAGCCACAATGTAAACATTTGTTCGTGTCCGCTACTCAACACTGAAAGTTTACTAGCATAATTTACTTATCCTTCTAGTAAACAACTAACACTGGGTGACGAAACTCTAAATTTGCATTTGTCTACATCACTGTTAACATTCAGTAAATCAAACGTCATGAACTAGCCAATAAGTTGTCTTAAGCTCCCTTCTATCCATGTTAATGTAAGAACTAGGTACGTTGTAGAAAATTCATAAAGACTATTTCCTTGATTTTGTTTGACAAGATAAAGTTTAATCTCACTCAGCCAATCAGATGAATAAAGGGGATTCGAGTAGATTCGAGAGAACTAAAGAGATTAGGCAAATCACTAACATCGTAGAACTTCGTACGTACGTACATCAGTTCGAGTCGCCATACCACATTAGCACACAGATACAATTGTCGATTCACTCCCGTAGTGGTAGAGGTAGTAAAAGTATAAGCAGTAGTCGGAAAGATTAGGGTTCGGAGATGTCATTCAAGGCATGTAATCCAGTGAAATTTGGAAAGAAAAAAAGGGACATAATGAATTCAGAAGATTAGAATTTGAGAGAACACAAAGAGTGGATGAACCTGCGCCATTGCAAATGATTTTGAGCCATGTCATTCAAGGTCTCTAACCATCGGTTGCTATCATCTCGCGAATCTCAACCAGGTAGTCTAGGCCTACCAACACGACTCAATCCACTTGTCAGTGACTCCATGGATTTGTGCCATGTTTTGGTCTGGCCACCCCTAGCTTTCTTCCAACCTACTCTTACACCAGAAAGCATCACACGTCGGGGCAGTCGGTGGCTGGGTATACGTAACACGTCCCAGCCATCTCAAATGATGAAGTTTCACTACTTCATCAATTGATTTGCCATCCTCACGTGGTACCCATTTCCTAACAACTGAGTTACTTACTCGATGGTCCCAGGATATACGAGCAATATCTAGAAACCTATGATCGGATACTAATTACATACGAGTATCCTCTACTCTTGCCGGCCATGTTTCACTGCCACAAAGTAGGACGGAACGAATTGCTGGGCATTAAAAACACGTTTTTTGGTTGATAGACGGATATCTCGCCTACGCTACAAATGATGCAAGTTGTCAAAAGCTAGCCTAAAAGATTAGGCAAGTCAAACACAAACATTTTCACATGTTATTTCTCACTTCATTTCTTTACTTTTGACTCATCAAAAAACAATTTTCAAAAATCTTTTTAATGAAACTCCTACTTGAAATTGATCTCTCGTATCACACTGAAATTAGGAATAGTTGATAAATCCTAAGATGAACTTAAAAATAATTCATGAGACGTCTATACTTATCCATCACATTGGCAAACGAAATAAATAAAATTAGTGACTAAACAAGATTATAAAAAAAATACAAGGTGCATATTATTTTTTGAAGCGATCAAATGAAAATCACCAAATGTTCATACAATGGAAAGGATGTTTGACTTGACATCACAACTCCGAAAAGTTAAGATTCAGACAAATATAGTGATTGAAATGTCATTAATACTTGAAAATCCCATTAAGTGTATAAGAAACATCAGAAAAATTCTGGCTGCTACATGGTTCGAACCTGTGGCACAATAATTATACTGAATTAGATTCTAGCCAATTTGTATAAACTTGGTAGTATAGGTGACTTGTGTTTATAAGTTGATTGTATATTAAATCTGTACAATTCATCATAATCTTCTTTTGGTGCTAGAATTGTTGAATTAATCAATGGAAGTTGTAAAATTCCACGACTAATTCTTGCAAAACATGCTTTGTTTAAACTTCTCTTTTTGCATAAATTTGATGGTTTATGACTTGCGAATAATGAATCAGTTTGCACAGCTATTGAATGTAAAACTGGTGTGTTAGTTCGTCTTACTGATTGACGTGAACATTTTGATAATTCTTTAATTAAATTAGTATTGGAAATATTTTGCTTTGCATCGTCTATTGGTTCTAAACCAAATTTTAATGCTAATGGGAAGTCCGATGTTGAATCACTGAATAAACAAATAATTAGTTTTAAAAAGCAGTTTGAATAATTGACATATTTGTACAAATAAGCACAAAATAATTTTAAGTGTATAAGATAGTTAGTGACAACTAACCTGGTGCCACCAAAACAATTAAAATGAAGTATTCAAACTTCATTAAATATAACTCATCTATCAAGTAAAGGTTTATATAGCTAACTTCGAGCACTTTTTATATTAAAGCTAGTCAAAGCGAAGTGAAGCAGATTGGTGGTTGAAGCCTAGGTCCTTTTAACCAAAAACTAACCATAACTGGTCCAGATTCATCAATTTAACGAATTTATTCTTTATTACTTCAAGTTAAGCGGCTGACTAACAGAAATAAGCCTCCTTTAGTCTTTGACGATTACCTCGAGATTAATCGAAACCACTTACAAAAATCTTTACTATTTATAAGTGATTTTATCGAACCAGTACTTGCTTTACTAAAACAATTTTATTGACCCTATAGCTTATCATTAATTAGTTTGAGAATGACAGTCGTACACTTCAGCATGGAGTTGTGGGTTTTACACTGTTGTATAACGACAACACTGCATGTTTTTTCTGCCAAGATAAAATTTTTACACTAAAATATTGGAACTTAATCATATAAAGGCTCAGTATGCGATTGTAAAACTGCAGGCGTTTGATTTTGAGGCACATCTACTGAGTACAAGATTACCGTCATCCAATAGTCATCACAGACCTTATGTAAGGAGAAAATACTCATCAATATGAGTTCGTGCAGGCTATTAAATTTCATTAATACCACAGAATGATCCAAGTTAGATAACAGTTAAAAACCTGAAAGGCCGTTTCGTCTTTATGTGGGATCCCTCAGCAGTGTGCATCCGTGACTACTAAAGCAGATCTCGAACTCAGGACCTCCGCGTGAGCACAACCTCCAGACCACTGAGCTGGCATTCATTGGTGTACAAGTCTAGCTTCAATTGACTTGCCAACATTTTGTGTTAGTATGTGCAACCGAGTGATGAGTACTTATATATACATAATTAATGACGTGGTACTCTTGAATAAGCGGAAATCAGAAGAAAGAAAAGATTGGGAAAATATCACTTTTAACCAATCTGACGCACTGATAACCAAAGGATTAGGTACAGAAATAAACCATTTAGATTAGTTTGAAATAAATGATTGAAGAATACACGGGTATTTGATTACTAACTAATAGCCTGTGAGATTAAGAAACTACATGATTATTTCATGTCAACAACGTGATTTTGTGATTATTACTTAGTTGAGAATAGTTGCAATAATAAATTAGTAATCGCTTCAGATATCTCTTTCATCGCTGATTACGAAATAATGTGTTTTCTAACTCTACCTAAAGCCTATAGTACTTGACTGATTTACAGAATTTGATGATCATTTGTTAGTATTTGTATTAATATCAACAACGTTAGTGGTTGTCTAGACTTAGTAGTTCAGTGGATAGCACGGATTTATGTTTGGTGTGAAATAGTATCGTGTTCGAGTCTCGATATCAATATTGAGATGCAGGTATTTTCAATTAGTGAGTCCCGAGTAGGACAAAACATACGTTTTGGACTCGACTGTTAACTACTGTCTTAGACAAAAAATTTCACGTATTATTTCTAAACATTTTACATGTCAAAATTACTGAATCAATGACTTACCGATCTTTTCCACATGAATCCAACAATGATCCACTAGATTCATTGTTATTTGATGAAAATTTCCTAGTCTGGTTGTCACTTTTAGCCAATGAAGAACTGGAAAATGTATGCAAAGAATTACTAAACATAACTTTATTACCACGTGATGACGGCTTTATTGATGCTGAGGGTATACTTCTGGTTATTTGACTTAATCGAAAGTCCCCGATTTGATATGGGGTAATACGTGAAATGAGCTGATCACATGTATAAATTAAGATAAAGAATGCAGTCAATAAATGATCATGACGTTGAATTCGTTCAGTTAAATTCAGTTTCATAGCATTTTCCGGTTCTGACATCTGTTTAAGGAAATTATATACAGAAATACCACATTAAACATAGAAACCGTAATAAATTTCTTATATATATAATGGCATGTAGGCCAGTTCAAACAGATCAACGTGAACAAGATAAAGTAAGCTTACTTCATAGGCTTCCCATAATGCAGTTTTGCAATCAAACACTAACTGACACAGACTATTCCTAGCTTTAATTAATTGTTTCAAACGATAAAGTTCTTTATCCTTCAGATCTTTGTATTCTTCATATTGAAATAATGTCTGCTCGTACTTAGATCTTTTAAAAAGATATAAAATAATATACTTGTTAAATTAAATATTTTACTGAATAATTTTTTAGAGAATTTCTATAAACTAAGAATGCGAATCTATAATTTGAAATACAAGTAAGTACTGATGGAATTTAGGTGGTGAAGAACTTAGTAACCATATGTTACCATACTTCTTGACAAATATATGAATGACAAATTTGAAATATTACAAATGAACTATTCAATAA